AAGGATGATACTCGAAACTGGGGTATGAATATTGATGATTGGGTTAAGCTTTGTAATATAGATTTCGTGAAAAAATTCAATAATCCTGAATCTTTACAACATTTTAGAAGGTTGGCATATTTCAGAAGACAAGGTTCTAACGCAATAAATTCTATAGAAAATCTAAAAATCAACGAAGAAATGCAATGGGAAGATTCATATAAATCTATGGATCCGTCCTCAGTTGATTTGCATAAATTTTATTCGGCAAAGCAGTGGGAAACAGTACATAATCTTGTCCAATCGATAGGCTTTAAAGATATAGATGATATGAATATTCTTTCTGGCGATGATGTAGCTAAAACTTTTGAGCAATCACGAGAAAAAATCGTTAAAATTCGAGAAAATGCATTATTGCTCTTTGGCTTTAAGACCAGAGCTAAAGGAATGCCAGATCTTAATGCTACAATAAAATTCATTAATGCGATAATGAATAATTGGTGTGGTTATACTATCAAGAGTGAGCGAAGGCTCTCGGGGCCAAAAGATCATTGAGTGTGGAAGCGCACTTATTGGATTTATCGTGTACCAGATAATGGAGCTGGTTTTGAAACTATAGAAAGAATAATGACTATAAAATCGAATGATCCTAATTATCGCCCTACAAATCCAGTTCTTCCACCATATAAACCTGAATCAGTTGATGAAACTCAAGAACTTTTCGATTCAATACCCATTACTACCGATATCGTCAGTGATGAAATTTGTAAAGAGAGTTCTTGCAATAATATAGCTGAAAAATCCGAGACTCAAAATCAATCGAATATTTCTGAACAATTCTCAAGCATTACTGAAACTAAGATTGAGATACCTGAATCTTTAAGTTCTCTATCTTCAGAATTTCTCATTAAAAACAAATCTGATGTAAATATTCTTATCTTTTATTTGCACGAAAAATTTAATATGTCTCAAGAAGGGTTAGAAAAATGGAAAAATAATATTCTCTTCGAAATGCGAGATAATCATAATTACTGGAAAAAAGAGCGCGAGAGTAT